CGGACCGCTGCATCTGACTTGGATAAACCCTAAGAACCGACAAAATCCGTGCAAATGAAGCCATGTGTCAACCATCTGTCCCGAAAGCCATGCACAACACTAAAGTGACCATCTGCAAATGATTGCGCCTCTTGTTCACGGGAAAGGGACCCAAATGGTCATTTCCAAAAGAAATCCCTATAACCAATGAGCAATAACCCACGAGGGCACGAGGAATTCCAACAGATTCAAGCTAAAATACGCCATGTCGGTGGAAGGCCTAAGGCATACGAACATAGACATACAACGACTGTGCATGCCAAAAAGCCATATCCGCCGGGCCTTTGGTTGCGCATGAACTCTTCCGAGGACTCGCTCAAAAGAAACAACCTTTTAGTCTCTTACGGGTTCTGTGTAGGCCGTGTGTAAATGTACATCGTAAACATGATAATGCAAGAAACGAGCCAAGGACAAACCAAAGAAATTACTTCCATTTTAGGGTTAACTGCCAGCAGAAACCCAAAGTAAAAATTGAAGACCGAACGAGATAGAATTCTAGTTGAGTCTTTGAATGGAGGTTCCCGGCAAACCGAAAAGCCAAGCAACCGTCCTCTTTCACACATGGAACGTCTGCTTGATTCGAGTGTGCGTTGGCTATAATATGTGTTATACCTTCACCTTGGACTTTCTTACTGCGAAGCACTCCTTCATCATCGCTGTAAATCATCAAACTTTGACCCAATACTTTGAAACATTCCATCAAAGCATTCAAAACAGTATCAGAGTCAATAGTCTTCATCGGAACTACGTGAAGCTTCTTGCTGAATACATCTATACATACCATACCAAATTTTGGTTGATTTCCTTTCTCAATCCCGATTGTAGTTTCTTGTTTGCTTGTTCGGTTGTGATCTTAACCATTTCTGAACAAAATCTAAAGTTATACCTATATCAACCGGATTATCAACCTTTTTAGTTTTTGCATAAAGGTCTCTTGCTGATCCGAAGCCCTCGTCCACGTCGTAGTATTTATTTTCCAGTATCTTGTCTTTCTCCAGTCAAATTCATTAAACAAGCTTAGATTATGTTAAGGCATGTTGCACTGCTCCTAGCTTGAACCCAAACAAGACCACCCAAAAGAACAATGCAAGTCCGAAGCGGCCGCAGTTCTTTTTACCGGGATTGCTGAAAGTAGCACTGCTTCCAGGGCACGGGTGCGCCTGGAGCAGGAGGTGCGTTGACCCCCCGTGAAACTTAAAGGCAAGACAACGCGTGTCCTTGCAAATGCATGCAGTGCGTGCATGGCGTGGCGGGCGCCCAACCAGCAGACCGGGGTCTGTGGTTAGGAAACGGCAAGCTGCAGCTTGCCCAAACCTGCATGATCCGGAGACCATGTAGTCCGGAGACCATGAGCGGTCCGGAGACCTAGAGGTCCGGAGACCGTGAGCGGTCCGGAGACCGAGAGGTCTGGAGACCATGAACGGAAGTGCAGAGCGTCTGCAACTTCTCATTGCAGAGCCTTGTATAAGGCAGTGCAGGGTGGGTGGGTGGGTTTCAAATGAAACAGCAAGTTTGGGTCAAGGCTAGGAGCAAAACGGCCACCGCGTAGGTAGATTCACAACATGCCCCAAACACAAGGGAAAAGAAAACCCTAAGCGTTAAGGCATGTTGCACTGCTCCTAGCTTGAACCCAAACAAGACCACCCAAAAGAACAATGCAAGTCCGAAGCGGCCGCAGTTCTTTTTACCGGGATTGCTGAAAGTAGCACTGCTTCCAGGGCACGGGTGCGCCTGGAGCAGGAGGTGCGTTGACCCCCCCTTCAGTGTTTCAGGCAACCCCGGTATAAGCGGCCGCCGCCTCATCACCCCCCCTTTAGAGTGGGGTTGTACCTGGCAGGGCAAGTGTCCGCATGACATTGCACGCGCTTGGTTGTGAGCATTTTGTTGCTCAGGGACCGCTCTTTTTTAGTCCAAGCGGCTTGATGTCAAGCTGCTGGCCGATGCAGCCAGGTATTCTGGTTGCCAGGGCGAGGTTGGCTATTGGGTCGCAATGCATGTTGGGATGCAATAAGGCTTGGCTACGCACTGCTGGAGGCAGCAGCAAGATGTTCCGGGCGCTGTGTCGGCTATCTTTTTGAGATTCGACAAGCGCGCTGCTTGGCACAGGGCTAGGGCGTTGCGAAAAACGGTCTGGATGCGGGTGAGCCACCCTACTGACACCTCTGGGTTCTGACCGTAGGCTCGGGCCGACTTTGCCTCCATGCGTTCCTGGTATTGACGTGATGAAAGGCGATACTGCCAGGGCACCCACTTCAGGGACTGCCCGGGCTTCAGGCCCTCGTGCACCAGGCTGAGAAGGCGGATGGATGGTAGTGTCAGCGTCCAGCAGCTCACCCGAGTAATTGGACTTGAAGGTTTGCACGACAGCTGGACACGCGTTCGGATGTGAGCTTGGGTGGCAAGCGCTCTGCCCACGATGCTATTTGGTCAGGCTGAATGCATGGCAACCTGGAGTTGGCAGCAGGCTTGGAAGGCGTCGCTGAGCTCATGCTTAACCGATGGCACTCTGCCTAAGGCGCGCTGCTGCCACACTGGATTCTGGACCCTCAACGTTGTCGGCGGGGCAGGAATACGGTTCCACCCAGGATCTCAATGGAAAAGGAATTGGGCAACCTAGGACGCAGGCAGTGCTGGATGGCTCGCTAGCTGGAAGCGGAGGTCACTCACATGTGCTCGCACAGGGTAAGGTCTTGCCCGGCTGCTGTGGTCATTGTGCGAGGGCCTGCTGGCTATTTGGTTAAGCGCCGGTTTGGCTTTGGCTGTGGCCCCTGGCGAAGCCGCATCGGTGGCATTTGCTGGGCGTGCGCACACCCGGTGAGCAAGTCGTCCAATGGTATGGCCGTGCTGGCCCTTGCGATTGGCCTCTCCATCGCATGAAGGTGCATATCCCTACTGCAGCCATGGCCCATCTTTGCGCACATTCCCCCCAGCCTGAGGAAGGTGGGGCCTGATGACACGTCTGAGCTGAAGGCCGGGTGGTCTTCTGCCATTTCTTCTGAAAGGCCATCGGGGGGAAATGAAAATGCTCTCCCCCAGAAATGCTTACTACGATAAGGCATTGAGCCTAAATGCAGTCATGGCAAGTGGGTGGCAGCACAGGCGACCCTCTGAGATGCTGACATGAAGGCTCATCGGTGCACCTGTGCATGGGGAGGATCACTGTGCAGGCTGCAAGGTTGGGCCAGCAGGCAATGCACACACGCTTCCTGCTTTTTTCCGTTGCAACTGCTGTGTGTGGGCCTGTCATGATGAGGGCCAGCGCAATGTGCCGGTGTGCACTTGTTGCGCAGTGGGTGCAACAAAGCAGAGGGCTACACTGATCACACGCCACTTGTTTGAAGAAACGGAAGTGAATGCACTGCGCGGCCCTCATGAAGCTGAATAGCGCAGTCGATGGCACAGTGCAAGGCTTTAGTACATGGCTATGTTCGGTTGCAAGGCTTCATAGCACCGGCTGCAGTGCGCGAGGTGCGCGTATCTTCTAACAGGGGAATCCTGTCATTGATGATGCGGCCGCAGGCGGAATGAAACGGGCAGGGCGATGACGCACAAGGCAATGCGCAGCACAACCTGGACTGATCGTCCAGGTACCACGCTTTGGCGACCCCGCCCACCCGCGCAGCCTTCATCGTGCAGGGCAAACGCATGGTGGGGAGTTGCGCACGTTGCTCCAGCTGGGCAATGGTGCGTGTGTTTTCCTGCGGCTGGGTAGGCTTTGGCCAGGGCTGTGAAGGCTTGCGGTAAGACTGCCGCTCGTTGCGTTTCCAGCAGGAGTTGATGCTGAAGGAGTGATGGTCCTCGCTAATCCGTGTGGCACACGCAGGAGGGCTACCGAAGGGCAAGTCGCAGTAGTTCATCCACCAGCTGCCGCCCCACGCGTACAAAGGCGTGTCTGGCGAAAGGCCCATATGCTGCAAGTCGGGCCTGGGCTCGTGGAACCCTGATGATGGGTTCGGTGGCCAGTCACAAGGAGGGCTCAAGGCTGCCTTGGGCTGGGGCACAGACGGAAAGGGCTTGGCTTGGGCAGCTTGTTGGGGACGGCCTCCTGCTTTGCTGGCAGGGCGTCGCGTGGCAATGGCCACTGCAGGTTCAAAGGCGAAGGTCTTGGCTTGGGTACCTCAGTTGGGACGGTCCCTTTTGCTGGCAGGGCGTCTTGCGGCATCTCTGGTGCGGTTGCCGTATCTGACGGCGGGGTCAGGAGGCAGCTCGGGCGTAAGCTGGTCGGCCCAAGGCTTCTCACTCTTGCTGATGAAGGGCTGATACAAAAAAATTCAGCCCGGTTGGGATTGAAGGGATTCACTAAGGGCGGTTCTTCTGTGCAGGGCTCTGGAGATTCCTGCGTGTCAGGCGGCAAGGTTGAAGACTCGTCAGTGGGAAGGGCAGCTTCTGGCAAAGGCGACGAGGATCCCAAGGCCGCCCGATCACGCAGGACTGACAGCATGGCAGATAAGGCGGCTTGGTTCTTCTCTGTCATGCTGGAGACTATGCCCATCAAGTCTGGCACTGATGAAGGCACCTGGTCCGGCATGCCGAGGGCGAGAGTGGCCAGGCAGGAGCGTGGCGTGAAAGCACACTGCTAAATGGCTGCGAACACAATGCGATGGCGGCAAAACGAGTGCACAAACAATTCTGCAAGTCTGGGGCACGTGATGACAGGGCTGCTGGAGGCGCGCAGCACGAGCCTGTCAAGCACGCCAATCCAGGGCAACTGTTGATTAGGCATGAGT